ATACGCTTGGTTAGATAATGGCAGAGTTTGGCCGGCCCGGGTTCGGTCGATGTTCATGATGAAAGCATTAGTACTGATGTAGATGATGATGATGATGATGATGATGATGATGATGACTATGGTGGTGATGGTGTTGACTAAAAACTGTTATATATATATATATATATATATATGTATATGCGTGTATGTGTTTGTGCAAAGTGCATTTATTTATATGTTGCCATATATATATATAAATATATATATATATATATATATATACCGCGTAGTATAATAATAATAATAACAACAAGTACAAGAACAATAGTGAAAAACAGTCAAGTAGAAAAAGCAATAACAACAAATGTTTTAAAATTCTAATGCGATATTGAGTTGCAAATTTCAATATGCACACAGCAATATGTATATGTATTGTATGGATGTTAGTATAGCATTAAACATTCATATTTCGCTATTGCAATCGCATTCGAACACGCAGGTATGTGTGTTTATACGCATTTAAATGCAGTTCAATACATACGCACGTACAGTTTACGGTTCGTTATTTTAGTCTCGCATGTGCCTTTAACATAAATCAACCTCACACTGCCTCTCTAATGTAGGCTATACATATTAACACTTGGTTAAGCGTATACGCATACGCTCATGCATATACAAAACATACGCACATGTCGATGCAAACATGCAACAACGTCGTGCATTTTATGTGTAACTATAAAAACAACTGAATATACGCACGCACTTATTAATACACGCTTACATATATATATACATATATATATATATATATACGCATTCAACACTAGATACCACGACGTATTATCGACATTTTGCTAAATATTCCATTAGCATATACATACATAATCTTGGTAAGTGTATCGCCAATTCATTTTCAAAACAAGCGAATTTCGTGCTAGCAACTTGAACACAAGTTATACATACATACTTGAAGTTGCTTATGTTTTCATACAAATTAATTAACTCCAGAATCGAAAACTTAACGGATTGCGAGATATTTAGCTACCATAATAGAGCCGATCACATTTTTAAACTTCGAATAGGTCTTTCGTATGCCCAACGCATAATTCCTTCTTCTGAACAACAGAGAGGATACAATAGAGGCAACAATGATATCAATTGCGATCTCTGAGCTGTTTGAGCTAAAGCTGATAATCTGATCAATATGTTCATTGAAGAGAGCAAGATGTTAAATAAAAGACAAAAGATGTAAAATAGATGAGAAATTTCGCTTACCCAACTAGTTTCCACTCAAATCATGTACGAACGAAATTTGCCTTAAATTGAAGTCATGATATGATTTCAAATATTATTGACAGGAACATATATCAATTTTATGCATCGTCAATAAATGTCTTCTCTTTCTCTAAGGTGCCGGGAAGTAAGTCATTTTATTTACTACGAAAAAATTATCTGGACCCAAAGTAAGACTTTTAGCTCCTGCAATGATGCTAAGATATAGGAACTATCTTCATCTAATTTTTCTTGGTCTTGGACTGTTCTAATAGTTGCCTTTGCAGCAATTGTTCAGGTGGGCGTACAACAATACAGCATGAGAAGTTAGGCATTCTCAACTCATACGATAATCAAATCTAATTTGGCCATTCCAGATCCGAGCTAACGCCACTTGTTGCGACTATCACTTAACGTTATTCTTTTGGGGCGAGTAGGCAAGAAAGAAAGGCTGTGTTCGCGGGTTTAAATCTTAGTGCGTTAGAATTTACTTCGGTCGTAGCACTTATCGATTGGACACACACACACACACACTAGGTTGCGGCCACCATCTACTTATTTCTTTCTTTCTTTCTCTTTCCTCACTTGTTTGTGACTGAAACACTCACTGCGTTATACGAATATGGGACGTACCCTGAATGATTGGTCATCTCATGGTAGAAAACCAATCATACTTTAGGAATTTAAAGTCCAGTTTTCCCCTGCTACCTAAGAACAGTTGTAATGGTTATTGCCGTCTCGGCCAACCTATCCGCACGCAACCCAGATTTTAGTTTACAGTCGAAACTGTAGGGTTATATTCTATAAAGTCTTAATAAGACTATGGACTCATCAAAAATGCCTCCTCTTTCTGATTTCCCAAAGGGCCGCATCTTATACATTGGAAGCTTTAAATAGGTTTATTTCGCCTCTTATGACTAATGCCAGTAAAGACCTTCGATGTTATTCTTAATCGTTCTGAATTTAAGAGACTATTCTTGTTTGCGTATGACGCGTTTAGCTTTATAGCATTACTCGGCTTGAACATTTAATGCGTCGTATAATAATATTTTCATTTGAAAATTTCAAAACAAAAGACACAAATTTCCATACGACTATAATAAAATGCAATGCCCGATATCTACATGTATGCGTATACATATATGTATATATACGTGAAAAGGGGTTTTGTTGTTGTATTTGTCCGGCTATTATCACGCGTTCTATAAAATGAATAAACCGAACGCATATGAACGCGGATGTGTCAATATCTGGGCGTGTGCGTATGTGATTTTGCTGATTTTGTTCACATTATTACGTATTTTCCGTTTCCTGTTCTACTCTAAGCCCGTCATGTTTATATAAAATAAATGCCATTAAGCTTTTCCTTTTACTCTGCGAAAATTAATGCCCTCTAACATGACCATCAGTCAACACTAAAGAAAATTTCTTCTTTTTTTTTTTTCAGTAGAAGAGACTATTGGAAAATATAATATATCTATATATATATATATATATATAAATTTATACATATATTATTATTGCATTTATGTATGTATGCGGGTATGAAATTATGTGATATTAAACATTCGAAAAAAAAAAGACGACAAGTTTAGAATCAAAAATTGTTATTGAAATGATGCGGAAGGGGGGTGAGGCAGTTATTATAAATACAAATTCGAATACAAAAGCAAAAATGAACAGATTTTTATCTGTACACTTAGTTGCGCTTTATCGTATACATATTGCATATGTACAGAGACGGGCGGGCTTTTTATGCGCCGCATGTCTGAATGCATAGTTTATGGTAAGGTGACATATTCCATTGTTTCGCTGACTGCACTGGCAAACAATCTGCTATTGATAATTAGTTTTGCATAATTATACCCAGTTGCCTGATTAGGAGGTTGTGCAGTGAGTTAGGTAAGTATTGTTTTTACTTTACTCAGTTGTTGTATCAAATTATAAAACTTCTATTATTAGGAGTGAAAAATACAAAAAAACAAAAAATCTATGTTTTGAGAAAATAATTAAAAATTAATTTTAATAAAACCAAATTGGAAAACTTAGCCTCGGACGGATATTAAAATATTTAACACCGGACATAGAGAAGGCGAACAATCAAGCAAACAATATGAACACATCTTACCATAATTTTAGAATTATGTTATATAAATTTTTCTTAAAATTCATAATAGAATATCCCAACTATATTCAATACTTCGTTCAGGGGGGCGATTCCCTGCAGCTTTCCCTAATTCTATATAAACTCATAAGCTTATAAAAATAATTATTCATTCATATTTGCTTCATTTTTTTATACCCATCACCGAAGGATGATCCATTTTGTCAAGACGTTTGCAACGCCCGCAAGGAAACATGAGAGACCTGCACCTAAACCTGTCCGCCTATTTGTCTGACCAGGTCTCCGTTTGCGTAATAGTATTGTAATACTTATGGTAAACATTCTCATGTTAGGGATAATTACGATATCGCCTACAAATTTGCAAAAGAATTTGGAATTGATCTAAATTTTTCAAACGACGCGCCTACAACGTCCACAATGCCTATGCGACCAAAACTTTTATTTTGAAGATAGAAAAAACCAGCTGCACCCACTCCATATTATAAAACATTTTGTTCTTTACTTCTTTCGTTTTTTTTTTTAGGGTAAAGGTGTCAGGTATAAAAGATTTGATCCCAATCGAATTTAATTTTCTTTCGCCCGCGAACAATTGAACAATCATTTTATCGAAACCTTTTGGGGAAAAAGAAATGATTATCGTACATTTCAGCGACCCCTTCTGAGAAAGAATAACAGAAAATGTGGCAGGTTTGACCATAGTCTTCCAACGAATAATAAAAAATTCTGCACGTTTGTTGAAATCAAATATCGAATGCAAATTCAGGTCATATCCAACGGTCTTTAGGTATCGTTAAAGTATTTATTTTATCCCTTTATCCCTCTACAAGAATTGAAGAATGCCGTACCTCTTATCGGGGAAAAAGAAACGATTACCTTAGATTCCATCGACCTCTTCTGACGAATATTAACAGAACATGTGACAGATTTCGCCAAACTCCAAAATTATAAATTATGCCACATAAGGACAACGATAGATTCAGGTCACATCCAACGCATCGTTTAAGTATTTGTTTTACCTCTTGTACGCCTACTTTCTAAAGATGCCTCAGACGGCAGCAGTGTTAAAGACTTATGTAATTTTGAATATTTCTACAGGACTTTTGATTATTCGCTTGTACAGGAGATGGGCAAAATGAACAATGTGTTGGACAACTTTTTTTTTTTAGAGAAAAACTCCAATTCTACGTGGATTAGACTCGTAGAATATCTGAAAAGCGGAATGTTTTCCTATTTTTCTATCAAATCATCCGCCAATTGCTGTAATGGTATTGGAGATGGAATGTTGTTTCACTCTCTCTGTCCTGAACCTACCTATAGTGATTCAGTTATGTTGAGGTCTATCGCTTGTGAAGATATTCTAATGCTCCCCAAACGATGAATTGAAATAATTTTCAAAAAAAAATCCGCCTGAGTGGCCGAAGGCGAGGAATCTCGACTAGCAAGTCAATGGTCGTGGGTTCGAATCTCAACTGCGGTAGAGTTTTTAATAAAAGCCGATAGCTTTAGAAGCTAGTGCTTTTAAGAGTTTAGTCTTAGAATTTATTTCTTTGGCGAAATTAATAATAATAATAATAATAATAATAATAATTTTTAAAAACATTCTTTTCTCTTTTTCATTTTGAAGGCTCTCGATTATGATTGTGAAGTGCAAGAACAACAAGATATCCCGCAAGCCATACAATTGCTTGGCGAAATGAATAGTAACGTTAAGCAGGTTACAGATCTCGTTGAAGGAATGCTACAGCGCGTTAAACGCGGTGAGCTCACTACAGAATATGGTTTAAGTTTCCTTGAAGTTAAATATCACATGTTACTCGACTATCTTATCAACCTTACGTATGTGGTGTTAAGAAAATGCTCGGGAGAAACCATCGAAGGTGATCCTTCTATAGAGCGTTTAATTGAAATACGTACTGTGCTTGAAAAAATTCGACCAATTGATTACAAATTACGCTATCAAATTGATAAACTAGTTAAGACGGCCACCACAGGAGTGACAAGTGCTACAGATCCAATTTTATATAAGGTATGAAAGAGTTAAATGAAAATTGTTTCCAATTTAAATTTAATAACGAAATGTTTGCAAAATGAATGAACAGCCAAATCCAGACAACATGTTAAGCAATGATATCGATGCTGAAGGCAAGGAAGATGACGAAGAGGAATTAGAAGATGAGGAAGATGATAGTGATAGCGAATCCGAAGATGAAGAGAAAGGTTTGAAGAGGCCTAAAAAGGCGGCAACAGCTGGCAAACCGGGTATTTATGTACCACCAAAAATAAAACCAGTTTACTATGACGGTGACGAGAAGCCTGAAGATAAGGAAAAGAAGATTTTGGAAAGAGCCAAAAAACGAGCAATCACGTTAGTTTTATTCAGATTAAATTGTTGTTAATACGAAAAAACATTTTTATTTAATTTTTGTAGGTCTTCTATGCTGCAAGATTTAAAGGAGGAATATTTGGATGTTCCCACAGAAATCTCATCCACCTCGAGAGCCCAGCAAATACTATCGAAGGCACAAAAAGAGAAGCAAGAATACGAAGAGACTTATTTAACTCGCTTACCCGTGACCAAAGCCGAAAAGCATCGTCAGCGCAAATTAACGACTTTAGGTAAATAAAAAAACAAGTAAAAATGCAGCAGCGGATCATGTCCCACCTTTAAATAGCCTGCACTAATTCGCTGAACACGATTACTTATATAAAGACTTCGTAAAAGGGTGCGTTATATGGGAAGTCATCGAAAAAATGGTCCGATCCGAGCAATTGTCAGTAGCTTTCATCCTTGGGCTAACACACGAAATTTAACCAAAATATCTCGAAAATGGCTGTCTGGGCGGATGGACAGACAAGCTTGCGGTGTCACATAATAAACAGTGGGTCTACTTCAAGCCATCCTGGATGTTTGATGTCTCCGCATATTCTTCATAAATCGTGCGGGGAATAAAAATATTTGCATTTCCTTCACAAGAAAGATCTACTATGAATTTTTTTAAATATATGTAGGAAGGGGAAACACGCAACAAGATATTTCAAACATGAGGGAGATACAAGACGGAGAGACAAGCTTGGCGTATAAGACAATAACTTAATCCAAAGTGCTTCTGCATGTTTTATACATCCGTACAATCTTAATAAACTCTTTTTGTATAGTTAATAACAATTCTCCATAAGACGTATTCTGAACTTTCAAAGATTTGTGGGGAAGTGGGAAATCCGCAGTACCCCGATGCGCTTTTAGTAGAACAATTTCCTTGATCAAAATATTCGCAAATCGTTTACGAGTTACAGTTACATCTAACATATCCATTTCATTGACCATCAATTTTCTTTTAAGCTATTCACTGATAACATTCTCATTCCCATCAAATTTTATTTGTATATTTCAGGCACCTTGGGTGACGAAATTTTGGGGGAAATTAGCCGCGACGCCGCCTTACGTGGTGATACATTAACGGGCAGCAGCAAAAAACGTAAAGCCAAAATGGGTAAAGGTAAAAAGAAAGGCAGCAAAAAACGTAAATTCCATTAAAAGGGAACTAAAAAAAATAATAATTTTCATAAAATCTCCGCATTCATCCTTTATTACTTTCCTAAACCCCTGGGAAAAAAAAAACTATAATTTTATGTTAAAAAATGTATAAGAAAAAAATAGCATTTTAAAGACATGGAAATTTTTTAAATTGTGTTTACCTTATATGGATTAGAAATTATTTTTATTAATTTTTAATTAAAATTATATATTATATTTTTCCTTATAGGATTATTGTTGTGATTTTCTTTACCCTTAAAAATACATAACACAAACCAAAAAAAAAAAACATTTATATATTACTTTTATTTTGTTTTTTACTACAATCAAAAATAAACTAATTACGCAAGTGGCACTTATTTCTCGTTGCTAACAAACTTGGTGCACAGTAACAAGGTTTCCATACTACGTTTTATGGCACTCATCATCATCATTTCGAAAATCTTGGAAACTCAATTTTTCGTTATTCTTAAAATTTGAAACTAAAACTTTACACACAGTACAAATACATTAGTAATGAAGAAGAACAAAAGTTTCTTAAACCAATGTGTGTGTGCTTCATCAGAGGATCAAGAAAGGATCCACATTCGTGGATTGTAACTAAATTTTACGCATTAAGCAGTGGATATCAGATTCGTGTCTACCCATATCGAAACTAATTAGGAATTTAGATGATAGTCAGCTTAAAATTTCGCAATTATATCTAATATTTAGTATTATGGGTATTTATGCCAAGCTTAAAAATTTTGCTCAGAATATTTGCTTCGACCGTAAAAGATAATTGATTTTCATACCTATACTACTTATGATAATTTATAAGCACGTGTCGCAAAACAAACTCTTCTATTAAGTTGGTGGCAAAGTTCTGATGTGTTTTAAATAAAGCTTTTAAGTTTGAAGATGTTTGATGTGTTCCTCGGCACTCGAGTCATGGATACCGAACTCTTTCACAATTGCAAAATGGTTAGATATGAGTCATCCTCCAACATGGACCGCTAAATGCCATTATCGAACGGATCAACAATCTTCTTTAAGACTGAAATCCACGGAACGGAATTTGCGCAACCATCACAACTTGGAACATTTATAGCTTCGCTCCTCAAGTCTTCCACCTGTTTGCCATGGCCTAACAGGTAAAATCATCTACAGATGGTAAAACACGATATAGCTTTCCCCCCAACCCATTATTTTTGATTGACAATCAGGTTTTCCCATTTCTCTCTTTCCGAACCGAAAGTCTTTGCCCTACAAAGTCGAAACACAGAAAAGAAGCTGATAGGAAAGGGTTTGTGAATAAAGCGAATACAACACAGAAGAAGGAAGGTCCCTCTTTCTTCATAGAAAGAAAGAGGGACGTGCATAGCGCTAGCTTTTGTAAACCAAGTCTCTCTTCTGGACAAAATAGAGAAATGGGATCTCCATAGTGGCAAAGAGGGACGTGAGTACCAGTAGCTTTTGTTAACCAAGTCTCTCTTTTGGACAAAGAAAGATAAAGGGGATACTCATAGAGGGACAGGGGGAAAGTGTGTCCGTTTGACCGATATATTTAATAATTCGAATATAAATAAAAGACACTCAAACTGAGTTATAGCCACCCGCATGATAGATTTTGAACGGAGGAAGGGTGCGTAGCAACCATGTCATGCAAATAGCTTAAACGGTGGAGGTCATATGTTATAAAAAGCTTCGCAAGCAACGTCATTTCCACGAGAATAGTTTTCAATACTCAATCTACCTATGGCCAACAAGGGCCTTATGACAAGCCTAAATAAGCAGAGGAAAAGCACGGAAGCTAGACAACGATGTTTTTGAAGACAATCGAGATAATAAGCTGTAGTAGCACAAGTTTCCCTCAGATGAAAAAATTTCTATAAACACGTAAGGTAACAGGGAAGCAACCATTTTCCCCGTCTCACTGAAAACCATGACTTTGCGAATTTGGATCTTGCGTTTGTTAATTAAAAAAAAAAAAAACTTTTCAAGATCGATTTGGAAAATGAGCGGAAAATGCACTTTTTGGGTCCGCCCCTGCCTATTTTTCATTTTTTGTCACTTTTTTTGATGCTTAGAACCTTGGAACCGTTTAGTCTTTCAAAGCTACATTTAACAGCAACGAGGCAGCCTCCGTCAAAATGTGACCGTATATGGTCAGTTTTAATATACTCCAACTTCATTTTATTTTATATTTAATATTTCTATTTTTTTTTTTTTTAATTTGTTGCTATTAACGATTCTAATATAATTAACGATATTTTCAACTATATATTTTTCAACCCTTTTTTTAGCAAAAAAAAAGAAAAAAAATAAGAAAAGAAAAGATTATATACTCGCATTGAAAAAAAATAAATAAACTGCATTAAATTTTCGGCAGCAAAATTTAAAATTAAAAAATTTTCAAAACAAAACAAAATTAATAAAAATTTAATTGTAAACCATAAATAAAGACGAAAAGAGATTAAAAACTATTCATTTCGAAATAACAAAATTTTTAAAAATTAACTGAAACTAAAATTAGAAAAAAACTATTTGGATGTAAAGAAAGGAAAAAAAATTTTAAATATATATAGAAACTATAATTATAAAAAAATACGTATTATGTTGTTTTTAGGAGTCAAAAATTGAACAAAAAAAAAAAATTCTTTGTTTTTTTCTTTTATTTCACATTACATTTAATATAATTTTAAAATGTCTGGGCAATGATGAAAATAAAATTTTGGAAAATAAAAAGAAAAATTTTTTTTTAACATTTGGCTAAAACAAATCACAACATAGTTAATGCAGTTACATAAACTCAACCATAAGATCGAGAGATAGAGAGAGAGAAATAGAGAGAGAGATAGAGAGAAAGAGAAAAAGAAAAAAGCAAAGCACAAAGTAAAAAAAATTAAATTACAAAATGCAAACAAAAAAAAAAACGTTTGTTTTGTCTTCTGTTAACTGATAAAAGATAAAAAAGAAACCCTGAAGATGAAAAAAAAGGAAAAAAAATATATACGAAAACTACAAATTATTCACCACAAATTATGCAGTTGCCTTATTATACACAAAATAAATAAAATAAAATTATAAAAATACTAAAAAAATGAAATTTAACAAAAATAAATAAATAAATTTAAATAAACAACAAAAAATGAAGTTTAAAAAAAAAAACAAATGCCAAAATGAAGAAAAAAAACAAAAAACGGAAAAATATTTTTTAAACAGAGACCGGTATACAAAACTACAACAACAAGATAAATAATTACAAATTTTGCCAAAATACTATTCATTTTTAATTTTTAATTTAATTTTTTTTTTGTTGTTTTTTTGTTCTTTATATACTCTAATTTTGTTTCGATAAGTGATAACGACAAAGAAATATTATATAAAAATATTTTTAACTATACCCTCCGTCTTGAAAACAGAACCTTATGATTTAATTCTCTTTTCTTATTTTTCCTCTTTCTTCAAACATAATAAAAAACAAAAAAGAATTATGTATATAAGCATAACTCCTAAAAACAACTAAAAAAAATCTTTATTATTTATTTTATTAAAAGTAAAATAATAAAAATTCAAAGTATATATATTTTAAATGTGAGATTTTGAACTAAACGATTTTTAACAAAAAAAAAAAAAACTAAATTTTTTTATTATAGAATAAAAAACATAAAATGTAATCAATGTTAAGAGTAAAATTTAACAGAAATTATACATTCGATTAAAGCATCGGTTACCGGGAAATGTTAACTATTCTTAGAACTTATCTGAAATGAATTTAATTCTCTCATAAACGAAAACTGAACGTGCATAAGAGAGCCGCCACACCGACAGGTTTTTATTATTACACTATAAGGAGTGCAAGTGATATTTTCTTCCTTCCCCGCTTAAGCTGAAATTTTTTATTTTATTTATTTCTTAAATTAACATCAATTGATTTTGAAAGTATTAGGAGTACAAAGTAGTTCAGTCCGGCTCAGTAAGAGAGATTATAATTACTGGTATAGAGTGTAGAATAAACCTGTGATTGCTTCATTTGAATGCACTGTCTTCAAACTAGGCGCAACTGTATAACACTACAGCATACACAACACGGTCTCATGGAGCTTTGAATAGATGTAGTTTCGTGCCGAGAAAGTGGAATTTACTCCAAGCTTTGCTTTACTAAATCCTTACATGTGGTAAATCATAGATGCGCTACACTATCCAAAGCCCAAATAACCGAGGTGGAGAATATGCGAACCAATAATATCGCTGATAAGGCTAAATATCTCTGATGGCCCGATCATATGGATGTGGTGTGAGATAAAACTATCACTAAAGAGGGCTATCAGCAATAGTTGAAAGTAATTGTGACAAAAAAAGGGCATTATATACCAAAAGGCATGGCGTCGTGAATTTTTATGAGAATAAATGAATTCAGCTGCATATATGAAATAATTGCTGTTCTACTCTCCCTGCTGCTATGAGCAGATAGTACTTTTTCCGACTAACACTGGTTTCAGAAAATTACTTATTGTTTGCTCGGACGGTGATTCGATTTTTACGATGATGCCAAAAAATGGACTTTAGGGATAGCCTAAATAGAATTTATGAATTTGCCTGAAAGACGGGAGAAAGTCGTAACTAACGATGGACGTTACTTTACATTGCACCAATTCTCTGAATAAAAAAACTGCAAATTGACAAAGAAAACCTTCAAAACTGATTTGTACACACAATGTCTACATAACGCATAGCATTAAATTATCATTGAACCATTTTCAAACAAAAAAAGTAAATATAATTTATTGTTGAGCCAATAGCCTGTGTTGCTAGTGCTCAATGTCTTTTTTTAGTCTAAGAATTCAATTCATTAGTCTAAAATTAAAATAATAATAATAATAATAATAATTTATTGTTATTGTTATTATTGTAACATTTATTTAAACCAAAAGAATAAATCCTAGCACTAAAAAGTCAGGTGAGCACCAGCAACTAAGACTATCAGCCAAAACGTTACCATTAAATCACATTTTGAAAAATGAGCTCCACCTTTAAGGTCGTATTTGTTGTGGTTTATGTGGATTGTTATTATGCTTTTCATCCTCTTGCTGCATACCTTATTACGATTGCAGATGTAACCCAAACATATTCAAGTTTCTGTTTTTGTTGCTTGTTTTGT